TTTCTTCTTTTATTTGTAATAACACTACCATATTATCGTTTCTTTCACATTATCATTTTGCATACACACATCTTTTTTGTTCTCGATTATATATTCAGATTGTATCAGTTTCTTTCGTTTTTTCTCTTTCTACTGCATCATTATACTGCTGTATATTTTCTTCATATTATCACATTTTTTTTATCATCTAATCCGATTGTTTCAATTTTGCTGGTGTTCGTTTTAATGTGTGTGGACCCACATTTCTGTCGGTGGGGAGGTATGTTACAGTCATATGTATCACTCTTTGACTCATTGGTATTTGTTTATTCATTTCGCATTCTTTGATGCTTTATTTCTCTCTATATATCGCTCTCTATACTCGCTTAAGAGGGAATTCAATCTCGAAATAAAACAAACATCAAGAAGGAACTGGGGTAGTCTAATAGCTTCCAAGATATTTTACTTTGTTTATGTGTTCAAATAGATGATTCAGAAACACGTCAACTTATTTTTGAAACGATACTCCATGGCATTCTCTACAATAGGTGAACACAGAAATTCTTGTGATTTGTGCTAATAGATTTGGAGAGAGCTAAAAGGAAAGGTGTATGAGAGTCTATAGTGTCTCATTGTCCAGAATTTGTTTTTTTCTCCCGCTAAACAACAATCACATTTCGCAGAAGTTTCATTCTTTCCGACTATTTTTGAACATCAAGATGCTCACTTTATCAAGATGATGGTATTCAAAAATGAGTTCTTTTACATTTGATTTGATTTATATAGTAAATGTGTATTTTTAAAGCGTTTACATCGATATCAAAGTGGGAAACTACAACATCTGATACATCTTTTCTTTTAGCTCTCTCCAAATCTGTTAACACAAGCCAAGAGAATCTTTTTTTTTTTGATTTTTGCACAGAATATCAGGACGCATGTTTTAAAAAGAATTTAGATTTTATCATTTACGTTTGTGGAGATATGTGGGGAATAGATGATGTTGCAAACATTCCGAGACACTTGGTCTTTGTTTTACATTCTCTCGCAAATGAAGATTTCTTCATGTTTACTATTGTTTCTCTTCTAATACTCTTCTGTATAAATCGGTTCAAAGCATCCTCAAACGGCCGAAACTTGCACTATATTCGTTGCAATCTGTTGACAAAGATGATAATGCTGGTACTTGGATGAAACATAAGTGATTGAAGAAGGAGAAAGACGACATTCTTTGAATGACCTGACGATTTTGCGCAGCTCTTCGATTCTCTCACCAAAATTTGTCATAATCCATTCAAGTTTTTAGGTACTCAAAGATGTAAAAACGAGTCGAGATTTTCTTGGAAACAAAGTATTTTTTTGAATTCTCAGAGTTGTAATTGTTTTACACAACAATTCCATATAAATTGAATAAAGTTTATATCATGTATGTCGAGCAATTCCTAAACCTCTACAATAACGATGGAAACATGAAAATCAAAAAGAAGATATCCGAATGCTATTTTGATAGTTCAGAGTACTGGATAGATTTCCGAAATTTTTTCTCACAAACGCAAGAATTGTCCGAAGACTCGGAAACCCTTCAGGATTTTCGAGACATATTCTGAAACCATGCTTGATTTCTCGGAAACGCTTCCACCATTTCCGGTGCCCGGAAACCCAAAAAGGTTTTTGATAAAAAAAATATCGAAAACGCAAAAGTTTTCGAGAAGGTTTTTAAATCAAAAGCGATTTTCAAAAATAGCACCAGGGTTTCTGAGAATAAGGGTGAGGGTTTCCGGACCTATCTTTCGAAAACCCATAGGTTTCCGGATGCTCGGAAACCCAGAAGGTATTTTCAAAAACAACATGAGTTCGGAAACCTTTTCGGATACGTTTATGGGTTTTCGAAAGGGTTTCTGAAGGGGTTTCGGTTTCTGAGAAAACGTTTTTTTTTAGAGTGTAGATGAAAAGAATGAGCTATATGAAATATTGTATATCATTCCTTTACTGGACTAACATGAATGAAAAAAGGTAACAGATTACCAGCCTATGACGTTAGACTTTTGGAGGTATATCTGCTGCCATTTATCGAAAACAACAGACTCCCCCCTCCCATCCCCCCACCACAGACTGAATTTTTTATATGTTGTGTAACTTTTGATTCTCTACAGAATGGTAAAAAAATTAAGAAAACAAAAGAGTATGTTCGATAGAAAAAATGGCATATACTGTCAAAAGCTAGGTAAACAGCATCGAGGAAAACGACCTTCAGCGTTTTCCAAGGACGTTCACTTATGAAAATTTTCACTTCCCACGAATTACAATTCTACCCTGAATCGAATAGCATAGACCATTTCTTCGAAAAAAGAAAAAAATTTTCGACCCTCCTAGACCCCTAAGGGGGAGTACGGGAAATTTTGAAAAAAAATTTTTTTCTTGTAATTGAAATATGATCAATCAGGAAGATAGTGGTAAGAATGCAGATCGCAACCATATACTGTAAGTTCATAATTATCTATGATTTAGTGATATAGGATCGACATTTGGAGTCATTTTCTTCCAACAAAACTTCACTGAAAACAAAAAATATTTTATATGAAACCAAAAAAGGATTTCGCACTTTGCAACGAAATCGAAACCCTTTTTAGGTTTTGTAAGAAAAAGATTTCGTACACGACTACTGTTTTGTTAGTTTAAAAAAAGGTTTTGTGCTGCAGGTTTCGTACAAACCTATTTTTCGCTAGCCCAAGAAAAGGTTTCGTACAACGTTCTATTCTCTTATTTCTGTACTTGACCCCTCATCTATCTATCCAAGTTCTTGTTTCTATAATTAATTCTTATTGCTACCTTAACCGTTAATCCTATACCTAATCTCTTAATTCTACACCTAACCCTTATTCCTATTCTTACCCCTGAATTCAATACGTAACCTCCTATTCCTACCCTAACCCATTAATTCTACATCTAACGAGGGAACATTCCCAAGTGTCCGATCGCTTTTGAGTTCGGACTCTGTGCATAAGGTAGATCCCCGTGAGGTATGAAAAACCCCAGAAGAATAAGTGCCCTTAGGCCTTCTGTCTAGAGTTATAGGCATTTTACTGGAATTTTAGCCTTTGGCATGGTATATATATCGACAAATCGAATGATGGTATTTTGACCTAAGATTTTGCTCACAGATAGATCTATTTGTGAGTAGAATACCCTGAAAATTTCAGCTCAAAAGAATGTTTTCTTCCCGAGATATTAAAGTCGCAAAAAAACAGCAAATTCTAGCATCTTTCGTGGGATATGATTGATTTTTGGGATTTTAATATCTCGGGAAGAAAACATTCTTTTGAGCTGAAATTTTCAGGGTATTCTACTCACAAATAGATCTATCTGTGGGCAAATTCTCAGGTCGAAATACCATCATTCGATTTGTCGATATATATACCATGCCAAAGGCTAAAATTCCAGTAAAATGCCTATAACTCTAGACAGAAGGCCTAAGGGCACTTATTCTTCTGGGGTTTTTCATGCCTTACTGAGGTCTACCTTATGCATAGAGTCCGAACTCAAAAGCGATCGGACACTTGGGAATGTTCCCTCGTCAGTCTGAGTGTTAACGTTAGTGATGGGTCACATTACCTCTAAACGATGATTAAGATGCGCTTTCCAGTCTAATTGGCTTAGGACATCTGCCCTGATAGCAGAAGGTATGGGTTCGATTCCTATGAAGGTCATCGTTTTCATCCTTCTCTCAGGTAACATCAGTGACACTGCTTGTGTCTTTCTTTCTACACATATTAGAGCTAACACTGAGGTGCATGACATTGAGCGTTTATTCACAGTGGTTTCTGAGTTAATTAGCTTTTTATTGTACACTCTGCTCAAGTCGAAAGAAATAGCATAAAAAGAACTTTGTAAGTGATGGTAGAGCCTTTAGGGTAAATGCAGAATAAGCAATGATTGTTTTAATGTATTCGAATAACGCCGCAAGTAACTATGAGCAAGGCCTGTGAGAAGTGCTGACGAACGACTGGTCGCTAATATTTCAAAAACATTCTGACGTTGTTTGACTAAAGATTTAAGTGAAGCCTACATCTATTATAAATCAAAAGGTGGATTCTCCAAATCAGGACCCCTAATAAAACTCTAATATATTGGCTAACGCATTAAGTGAAGGAAATTAGGAATGAATAATAGGAAAATGTTGGTTCGGAGTAGCTCATCTGTAGCAATCGGATTATAGATCTAAAAGTTTTTCTAAGGAAGAATAATCTGACATTTGATAGGATTTAAGTGAAAACAACTATCTCATGGAAGAAAAAGATGAGAGGTAGCAGCAGCTAGTTGCGAGTGGCGCCCCTTCGTGGCGCCGACGAGCGACTAGTTGCTGCACTGGAAAGTTACTTTATGAAGGGCGTTCAATTATGAGGAT